TACCCTCGTCGGACTTTGCAAATTAGAATTAGACTAATATTCCCCTTTGCGATCTTCTTGATGCGATGCGGATACTTCTTTAAAGCAAGACATCAATGGGCTGGCTATATAATGTGAAGGGCAGTAGACATAAGGACATTAAAAAACCTGGGATGGATCCCTCGCGAAGCAAAACATCCTCGAGGGAGGCCACCGATCAGATGGGCTGACGTGTTCGTTGCACGGATGCAGCAGCTGAATTCTCAGTTAGTAACGTTCAATGGATCTGGGCGAACATCGCCGCCCAGCTTAATACCAACATCATGGATGACGCTAGCCAGAGACTGAACATAGGATAGGCCGATGAATGAATGCAGGCCATGTAAATATACAAGTAAGTAGGCTTGTTATTCGAGGCGGTAGTAAACTCCCTGTATGTATGACATCAAGGTCGCAACATGTGACGAGCGTGTTTCACGACAGATCCATCTATCTCGCACTGTCTCGTATCTCTCAACATGCGAGCCTGACTGGTGCGAACACCTCGCAACATTGGCCCGTTGTTAGAAAGATGCGAGGATGTTACGAGGTTCGAGATGTTGTGACATCGCGACAGGCGCGAGGTTAGAGAGCGCACGAAAAGGAGAGAATTAGACCTGTTGCGAGTTCATGAGTTCGAGCACGCCATGTCCGTACCATTCACATCGGTAGTTACATCACGGACCACGCATTAATGACGCGCATTTTATCAGCTGAAGGCACAGAAACTACTAGCCATTTTTTTGGATTTCACCCTGCTTTTTGCATTTTCTCAACATTGTTTTTGCTTAATTCCAAGTGCCTTAGAATATATTATTGTAGCTAGGCTCCTGACCAAAAAATTTCGTTTTTTAGCCAAAGATTGAAATTGTCTCCGAATTATGGGACTTTATTGTCTTGGCTAAATAATCGTCTATTTTGCTTTTCTCTGCAATTTCGCGTGATTGAGTCCATATCAAGATAAATAACGTATAGCAATCGATGTTTTTTTTTGGTTTCAAGCCGTATTTTATCGGATCTTATCATTTTAACATACGCTAGAAATGAGTGAATCATTAACGGATTGATGCACAAAAGGGTTAAATGAACAAATCTCCTATCATTCCATCTAGTATTCCACTTCGTAGCCCTTATTTTATTCAATGTGGCTCGAACAGTTCATCTCTTGCTCTGATGAGTATTGCTTTCATATTTGCACTGTAACATTGGTACTAATAGTGCAGTGGTTATGAGCGACTTTGTCTTTCGCTCAACGCAGGTTCGTTGACGGGGCGGGCTGCAATTTTTGCGTTTACCCTCAAACATGCAGAAAAACACTAAGCCACGCTCGTGAATAACTCATACCTTTGGAGTTGTCACGAGCATGGTTCGTTCTTGTTGCAACAAATTTGTGGGAATTACTACCACCCTTGGTGTAATTTGCGCAAGATTCAATACAAAATACGAGTAAGTGCGCTCCTTTGTTGCTGAAGTCAGTCGATGTATCAGATGGGACTGTTCATTGTCATGCGCCAGTGAATACATAGGCTTTGCTAGGGGCGAGTCATAAAGTAAGGCCTACCCTTATCCAAAATGGGTAAGAAGGGAATTATAACGATTGACTTGAATACCAGGCATCTATACCAGATTGAAATTTGGTATCTGAAATGAAGATAGTCCAAGGTCAGCTATATCAATGCTTAAACCGGCGGATTTACCGCGATTAGATCAGAAAATTTTTCTCATTTTTCATGTTATATACGAAAGAAGAGCAGTTTTTACTACTTGCAAGGCGTCCAAATTCTGCAATTCTCAAGCAAAAAAGG